TACCATTATTTAATGTGCAGTGCAAATATAAAAAAAAAACTACCTAAAAAATGCTGTTCCTGCTTTTATTACTTATGATGGGACTACTTCTCAAAGGAGACGAGAATGTGGAAAGTATTGCTGATACAGTTACCGAAGTTATCCACTGGAGGTGAAGTGTTAATCTTTTAGGAATATAGGAAATATTTTTTTATACCTAACAACTTAATATTTATTTATTGATAAGTTATAGATACTATGTATTTGAAATTCAGAGTAATCATTATGACAGCAGCATTCTTATTGTATTCGGATTCTAACACAAATAAAACATCTCATTAAATTTTTGTTAAAATTATTAATTTATTAATTTTACACTAGAAAGAAAATTAACAATACACACAAAATTATTTAAAATTAGAAATAAATACAATTTACACATTTCCCATTATTACACTTATTTTCTTAATTTATTCATTTTTTATATTAACAATTTCAATTAATAATATAGTTCATTATTTAATTGGAACTCATTTTATAATTTTACTAATTATTTTTTTATATTTATTTGTGGAAAATGAAATATTAAATAAAAGCATAGGAATTGTTCTATTGGATAATAGCAGTAATGAAAAAATAAGTAGGAAAATTTCAAATGTATAGTTTCCAGATTTATTATGAGTTTTTTATATTAATGTACTCAATAAGTAGGTTTATTATGTTCGCTTGTACACGTCACAGTTAGCAGCAGACAGTAACAAACCTGACAACACTTCTGATTTCAGAAAAACATTACAACAATTTGTTTTACATTATATATTTCAATAATATAATAATCATTTATATTTAATTAATGACAAGGTTTACTTTTTAAATAAAACTATATGAGCCCTGTCCCGTTTCAATTAGCACACTTCTCATATTTATAGTGACTGTCACTACAAGAACAAATCATACATAAATCTGATAAATTCTTTTATTTTTTTAACCCTTTCACTTCCACTTTCATTAAAAAATATACCATTGTAGTAGATTGTATGTTTTCTTTGCTTATTTTAAGTAAATTAAAATATTTTCATAGTATTTTTTATTACTCCAAGACATAACGTCCCTGTTCAGGGACATTACAAAAACAAAAATTTACTATGAAAATAAATTTTTTTAAATATTAATCTTTGAAAGTAATGCAAATAAAGTAAATAAACCAAAAAGAAAAACATTCTACCAAAATTAACAGATGTATACTTCAGAGTTAATTAAGACAGTGTCCCTCTGGAGGGACAAATACACTGAAAGGGTTAAATATTTACAAATTTTCATGAGTGTTTCATCACCTTTAACTTTGATAACGGCAATAATTCATTAAAACATTGTATTTACAAGTTCTTGAAAATCTTGTGCAGGGAACCTACTCCATATTTTTAGATTACCCATTTGAATTAATTCTGGCAGTGATCTTGTGGGTGCTGCACGCCTCTGCTTAAAAATTATCACCCCATATACAAAAAAGCATCTTTATTAAATGAACAAGAAACTAAAAAAAAAATAAGCATTATTAAACACTACAAAAAGTGCATCATTTGAAAATCCATATTCAAGCTCCAGATTTGTAAAATTAAAAAAATTCCAAATACACATTTAACTTGTTCGATTATTTATTGAATAAAAGGTCTGTTCCAACGATCAGAAACGAACCACTGGGTAGTACACAATTTTGCAGTCTCAATAAACTACTGTGCAGAATCCTGATGTCAGTAACTCATTTCTGAGCATTGTTGGAACAAACCTAAAGTAAATCGAAACCACTTAAAAACAAGCACAACATTTATACTCGAGCAAATTTTTAATTCCTATCAAAATTTTTAATTACTGAATATTTTGTTCTAGTTATATTAAAATTTAAAAGTTCTTACTCTTCATTATAATTATATTTTTTATTTTCCCTATATACCTACATACTATCTCTAACATTTTAAAAATTTGATGCCTAATTAAAGATTTCATCTAGCATTGCAGAACGAAAAATGTTTTTCACATTTGTATAAATCTTCTACATCTGTCATATTAGGATAACAAGATTGTATCTAGACAGGTAGTTATTTTTTGGAGTTGAAGTTTGTATAGCCATTAACTTGTTTGATTTTCATTGTGTTTCTAACTCTAATTTAAGAGAAAATCTTAAGTGATAAAAAATTCAGAAAGAACTAAGCGACCTACATTTTTTAGAATATTTGATAAAGCATAGTAGTAACTGCCAGTTAAAACTGTGTTTCTAGTATTTAGTTTAGGTAACAGAGACAAAGCTTGGAACAAAAAATACATACTTTTGTTAATTCAGAATTTTTAAATGTTGTTTTATATTATAAATCTTTCTAGGTATCCTCTATCATTTTTTTTATAATTTTCAATCAAAACTGTTTAAAAACAAAAAGTTTAATAAAAAAATACCCATTATATTTAATACTGTTTATGCTCTAAAACTCACTGTTCTTTTAATGGCAGATTTTTTAACCTCTGAGTAAAGTTACGCATAAGTATAATCTATAGCCTAATCAGCAAGTAGTTACTTTCAACTTTATTCAGAGGTAAAAACCTGGCCTTTAATATCAATATAATTGTGGAGGACGGAGACTACATTTGCTAGGGAATAACAAAGATATAACTACTATAATGACACTTGCTAAAAACTGTATAAGTTCTATGTACCTGCAGATAGAACCATGTGAATAACTTTAGTGCTTCGATAACACAACATTGATAATTAACAGATGAACATATTGGTCACAAAAACAAATTAATATATTCTACCAATCTCATTTTTTCCAAAAAGTACAGTTACAACCTTGTTATTCTTTGAGATGTATTTATTACTGATACTTATTAATAAAAATAATAATAATTGATATAGGTACTTACTGATCTTTGGAAACATATACTCCAGTCCAGTGAGACTTCATTATTCTGGTATAATGCTACCTATTTCACGGAAATGTTTGTAATTCCAATCACTATGTATGGATTTGATTATAGTAGGTATAAAACTAAATGTTTATTGAATATCTTTAATCTGGGCAATGAAAATCACAAAACTCACTTTAAAAATAATAAGCTTCAATCTGAGTACCATAGTTAAGGTCCACTTCTTCATTTTATAATCAGTAACCCACTGTATTGCTGTTTTTGCCAAAGCCAAAGGTAATATTTGAACACAAAACAAAAACAGCTGTTTTTTATAAACACCCCCATTTCACTTATTTAGTAGCAAGTCTCTGGCAGCAACTTGTAACTTAATTGGTAATCTCCTGTCTTTTTGCCTTCGAAGACCAATAATGCATCTTTTACAAAACCTTCTTCAGAACCAGCATGTAAAATAATGAGGCGTCTTCCCTTTCCTGTCGGGCTTTTGAGGCCCGTGGTTAAACCTTCAATAAATGCTTGACGTCTACTGGTTACATTTTGGTCCACCCATGTTTTTCCCTTACTATGACCTTCATTAGTCCAAGTTTCATCTAAGTAAAAGATTGGCCTGTTTTCTCTTCTATATTGTTTGATCGATTGTAAATATGATAACCTCCATCTACAGATATCATCACGTTCTATTAATACACTTTGACGATTTCTTTTCAAATATCTAAAAAATATATATAATAAATAAACATTTCATTTGACTTTTCAAAGTTACAAACTTACCTAAAGTTAATAAGTTTCAAGAAAGTATATAAAGATGACCGAGATATTTGTGGCAAATCTAAACGTTTCTTCAATGCTTGTGAAATTTTATTTAAAGTAGGTAATTCATTTTTTAAAAAGAAATCATGTACCAATCTTCTAACAGCATTTTTGAACCCCTCATCAAATGTTTTTAGAAGTCCGGGTCTTCCACCAATATTTTTTGGACTAGATATGGTTCCACTTTTACGGTATTCTTTTAATACCCGATAAACTGTTGACTTTACAACTCCTGTAAAAAAATGTTGGGTATTTAATACCATTTTTAATTTGAAAGTAATGAGTAGGTATAACTTACCGGCGGCTTGAGAAATTTTGGATACAACATCCACAATTTTGGTTTTTGGTTTATCATCCAATACCTGTTTGTACATATTTATTATGTGCTGTTTTTCTGCGAGACTTAAATGGCCTAAACTCAAACGTTTTCGCTGTTTTGGTGGACTACGCAAGGAACTGCTACCTCTACTAGTACTCGGTGTAGAATTATCCATAATCGTAGAAATTCAATACAATTGCTTACCGAAGTTCTGAAAAGAACTGTTTTTTAAAGAAATAGAGTGGAAAACTAAGAAATAATGATAAGAGATCAAACAAAAACCGAAAGCAATAACAGAACTAAAAATATAAATAAAATGTCAGAAGTGTCAATAATGTCAGTTATTAGCTGATGTTAATGCAAAAGTGATGTGTGAAACTGGCTGCAATCTGACCAATCAGAAGTCTCCAGAATTGCCAACTTAAATTCAAATCGCTCCTCCTGGTTTTTAAACAGACTATAGTTGACCATTAATTTTTTCATCTGTACTTCTTCTGATAGTTTTGTCATTTTTCATTTCATATAAACTCGAATTTTCACCATAGAAGAACTATTTTTATGATTGCACTTTTTCTGACAGATAAAAAGATTGCCGCAATTTTCCGCCGTAACGACACTAGCGAACCTAGCGGATTTTGGCTAGGAAGTACGACCGGTTTTGGTATGTTTTTTTCAGGGAGTTGAAACACCTTTATAGTGCGCCGTGGTCAGAGGTAAATCTGTTTGCTCCGTCCTTTTTGTTGGATCTAAGCCATAAATCTAAAGAATTTGACTGAAAGTTTTGTGTTTGAGGTTAAGTTAACGCATTTTTCTTGCCACGTTGTGTTTTGTTAGTTTATAAACTTTAATCCTGATTATTTTTTTGTTATAAAGAAAAATAGAATAGAATATTTTTAATTTATAGGTATATTAACATTTTAATTGGTGACCCTTCTGTGTTTTTAATTGATAGTAGTGCAGTTTTTTGAACAAAATGCCTGTGCTAGAACTCTTTGATCAGGTGGATGAAAAACAATATTCAATTTTAGTAACCGAAGAAGAGTTTAGTAGAGTGGTTGAAGGAGAAGGTAAACAATAATATACTTTTTAAATAACAAACAATTCAAACATTTTTTCATATTTTAGATTTAAATTTAGCGAGTTTTCTCCTAGAGAAGGAAAAAGAAAAAAGAAATTTTATAGCAGCTTATAAAATAATGCAAGCTCCAGCTTCAGAGGCCTCAACTTCAAGTAAGTAGTAATTCGTTAATAGTATAAATCATGGTCGATAGCCTGTTGGGTATAGTATCTCAATAAGGAACGTTTATTGTTATTGGTATAAATCAGTGAGAGACTGACATGGTAGGAAAAAGACAAAAGTGAACTAGGATCCAACTATATCCTTTTGTTTTTCATATCCAAAATTAGTATTTCTGTAAATTATTGAACAATTCAAGTAACGTAAATTTTGTTTCAGCATCTACTCGAAGCAACCAGGAGAGGGGCATTTCCTTTGTAGAGGAAGAATGTAATTTAGAAAATGGAGGTAAATAATTTAATTTTTTTTTAAAGAAAAAACATTGTGTTTTGGTAATACATTGTATATTATACAAATATTTGGAAAGATGTAGTAATAACATTGAGTTTAATTTTAGTTTGTTTAAACTTCTCTGCTAATCATATGAATAGATTTTTTTTTAATTTTAGATATTGAAAACTTTTCGGAGGGCCTGGAAGGCAAAATATGAAATGCAAACTCCACAAAGATGCTCATAGCACTTTGTAAAAAATTTAATGACCAGTTTGAAACTGGAGTTAAAAAACATATATGGAAAAAAATATCGTCAGAATTAACAAAAAATTGTCAGAGAATGTATACGTATCAACAATGTGATACAAAATTTAAAGTTTTAAAAAATATGTATAAGTCAGTAAGAAAATATAATAGCCAGTCTGGAAATAACAAAAAAAGTTGGGAATATTATGGCCTAATGGATGACATTATGTTCAATAAGCCAGAGATATGTCCAGTTGCTACATGCTCTAGTGCAAGAGGCCTAATTACAAATGGACTTCAGGAGCAGGATACTAATATTGAAGTATCTCGACCATCTGGTTAGTAATAGAATAAACTTAATAATATTATTACCTTTTCCTCCTTGGATCCAATCCTAAAGTATAAGTAGTACTCCTATCTGAAATATCCATTAGTATGTGATATTTAAAACTAGCTTAAACTTAAAATACCTTGGTAAATAAAATAGACGAGTACTTTAATTAATTTTAATAAAATGCACTAGAAAGGTATTAAAATAATTATACACACTAAGTACTTGTCCATGTCTTCTTTAATTTGATAAAAAAATTAAATACATTTACAGCGTGTAGCACTCCACTATCAGCAAGAGAGTTGGATGAAAATTCTACTACAACGAATGTAATGAGGAAGAGGAAACATTATGAAAATGCCACAGAGAGAAGACATCAAGAAAAGATGTCTAGACAAGATCGCTATTTGAGCCTTCTTGAACGAATAACTGTGGCAGTTGAAAGATCTTCCACAACTTCTTAATTTATGCGTTTCTTTTTAATAAAATTATAAAAGTTTTAGTAGGTAAAATAAAATTATAGTTAAGAAAAAATTGTTTTATTGCCAATAAATATTTGATAAATTTAGGAATGCCCTGTAAATGAAAATTAAAACTAAATTTATTCAGGTGGTACAAATTGATTCATTATATCATTCCTTCTAGCAATGGCAAATTGATTATTTTCTCTAGCTTGCCTTGCACCAAGTTGCCAGAGGGTAGATTATTTAAATTTAGTCTTCTTTCTTCCTCTAGTTCTTCCTCAATGTTCATAATTTCATCAGGTGATTCTGCATTTAAAATGCAAATATTATGTAAAATGCAAGCAGTTATAATTAGTAAAGCTGTTAAATCTAAGCGTACAGTATCCATATGTTTCAGCCTCCTAAAGCGGCCTTTTAAAAGAGCAAAAGCCATTTCTATAACGACCCTTTCTTGGGACAGTAAATAATTGAAACGTTTTTGTTGGTTTGTGAGATTTCCAGTATCTTTAAATCCCACCAAAATATAATTGCTAAGCTTATATGCCAGGTCTCCCAGAATGAAACTATTGAAATGCAATCTAAATTGTCCATTTATGAGACCTTCATATAGATCAGATTTTTCAAATAATCTGTTATCATGTAAAGACCCAGGTTCACCAGCATAAACATGCATAAATAGTTTTCTGTGATCACACACACCTTGTAACAATACCGAGTGAAATTGTTTACGGTTAAAATAAGAATTATGATGTTCTTTTGGAGCATTAATACTTATGTGACTCCCATCTATAGCACCAACTGCAGCCGCTTGCTCATCGTCACTGTCCACTGCTCTCCGCTACTGTTCTATACTGAGGCCCAGCGACGAACGTTTGTCAACATCAGAACATTTTCCAAATTTAAGCTGTGTCCAGGCCGTTGGAGTCTATGCCCGTCGGCGTAGCCAGGTACGGTTTAAAAAAAAATTTCTGGTGGCGGCGAAGCCGCCACCCTACAAGAAGTCGTATCTTCATTTTCTTATTGTATATTTTCATATTATTAGATACCAGACCTGGGACCGTTACTAAAAAAAAGTAACGCGTTACTTTATCGTTACTTTTGATGCAAAGTAACGCGTTATATAATCGTTACCGTTACTTTTTTTAAGAAGTAACGAATTATTCGTTACTTTCCGAAAGTAACGCGTTATTGTAACTTCGTTACTTTTAAAGTAACGCGTTACTGCAAAAGTAACGCGTCACTGCAAAAGTAACGCGTTACTTTAAAAAGGCGTTACTATTGGAAATAAATTAATAAAAAGAACACAATCATATACATATTTGCACAACTTCAAAAAATTGGACAATTTAATTGCTTGTAGAAAACTTAGACTTCATACTATATAGTAATTATGGTTTGAAAAACGAAGTGAGTCGATTGAAGGTCAAAAAAGAGTGTTGTTGTAAAGCGAGAACGATAGATTCCGACTCTGAGGTATGTTGACTATTCAAAGCTTGAAATTGGAGTGAGGGAGAGGCAAAACGATGTATACAGTGGAAGGCGGAGTGGGAAACTCGTTGGTTTTTGTGTGTTATAGGTGTGTAGTTCGCGAACGAACTAGTTCAAAAGATCGAATCTCTAATAATGCGTTATTTAATTTAGGGAAACTCATTTTTATCTGCATGTATTAACAAAACAAGTTGAACTGATTTATATTCTAATGAACCACTTCTACAAAAACTGACGTAAGTCGAACGCGACAGATTCTGCCGTACGCGTACGTCGAGCGACGCGCTCTGTCCTAACAAACTGTAGCTTCACATGCATCTACAAGTTAGGGAATGGTTTGTTAAAATTAGCACAGTTAAGCACACAGCAGTGTACGTCGACTGATTACAATAAAATAATATAAAAATAAAATTTAAGAAATAAACTTGCCGTGGGTTGCCCATGTCAGATGTAGAAAGTGTTTTAGAAGTAAGAGGGCATTTTGTTAATTTTGTTTAAATTTTATTGATTTACAGTTTTATGGCTTTGGTTTCTTAAAATACAATATAATTTATTAAAATCAAATTAAAACATTAGTATTTTCAAATAAAAAATTTAACAATAGTATTGTTTCCTCATTTTTTCTTCGGCTTCCCAAAATGTCTGCTTGTCCTCAAATTTTTTATAAACTGTTTTACGAAGTTCTTCAGTCGATGGTCGATCTCCACCATAGTCTTGTGGTAGATATTCTTTTGAAATGAAATTAGATAGGCCGTCTATACCTTTATGGCAATGTATCTAAAAAAAAAACATTTCAAAATTAACTATCGCTAACGCACAATTATTTAATAATAATAAAAATTTAGACATAGGTATTAGTTTACATCATTTTTTGTTTGTTTTCATTTGGGTTTTCGGCTTCGATAACTAAGGCCATTAGCCTCGTGTTCTATGTAGGTCATGGAGTACTAGTAGTGCTAGTACTCTAATACTCCTGCACCCCCTACAGACAGGCCTTGTTACTGTGTCCTAGCGCCACTTTAGGAACAGCACTGTTAAGTAGAACCTAACAGTGAATGATTAGAGGGAATCCTATATATGCATCAGAATTATTTTTAAATAAACGAAATAAAAAAATACCGATCATCACATCGAGAATATTTATCCGCCAGTGTCGTATCGTAGAATAAGTTGGGGAGAAGTTGGGTTAGAATGGACGATTTTAGTATGTCGGAGTTTTTGGGGATTTTTTATACCGACACTTATTCTTAATCATGTTGTTTCAGTTAAGAAATAAAACGTATGCCAAGTACTCTTCCTTTATTAATAAATCATTTTTAAAAAATATATGTGACGTACATGATCTGGGAATTTTTGTTCGATGATTTAATTTGTGTTAATTTGTGAAAAATGGACCAAGATTTTGTGAAACCGGGTTCAAATAATGCATTAGGGCAAACCAAACAAAATTAAATATTATTTTACAATGTGTTACATTACATATAAAATTACATTAAATATATTTGACATCTCGATTTTCAGACTTATTTATTAAAATCAATTAGAATATCATAATCTATTTATTGAACCAACTTTTGATATTGATATCTATTTTATTTCTGATTTCCGACAGATAAGCAATTATCAATTTTTTTATTAAAAGCTTTATTAGTTATTATTTTAACGTAAAACGCAAATAATCTATATGTAACTCTAAATTCGATCATAAAAGACATATCGGATGTTATCGATTAATTGCTACAGATCATTTTGTGTGACCGAGTATAGTTCAAGTCAAAGTTGGAAAGGCTTTTGGTAGGTAGAGAGGGAGTAAACGTCAAACCACGTCGGACGGCTTCGAGAATTTCGCAGTAATGTTTACCTGGCAGTGTCATTTCATAGAATAAGTAATTTTAAATTGTTACCGGCGGAACCGGACAATCGCATGTATTTGTGGACTATAAATAATTATTAAACATGTATTATAATATTCAAATCATAATTTTACAAAATTTTAACAGCTATTCACAATTTATTAAACTATTTATTCGAAATTATTATTAACATCTATAAAATAATTTTGTACGCCAATGTATCGCGTCCACTTCGGTGAGATCCGCCGCAAACCTGTCAATTTATGTGTATAAAGTGGAAGAACTGGCAAAAGCCTTTCCAACTTCTACTTCTGCTATAGACATTCCTTATTGATCATGCATGTTACGTGTGTGGCTAGCTTCTGGTATAACAACAAGCCGCGAAATTTAAAGGAGAGCTATTGAGTGTACCATACTTTTAGCGTTAAGGGTTAATAATATAATATACTTACTTTTTCAATGAGTTCCTGTTTCATAAATATTTTGCAAAACGACAAGATCTTTTGTAACATTAAATTGGAGTTTACAAAGTGAATAGTTTTTAGTTTAATAGGACAAGCTTCTTGTACGTAAGCGAAGATTGTTCTTAAAGCTTCTATATGTAACATTGTCATATGCATCACACCGAACTATAATAAAACAACTTAAAATTAATTATTATTAATGTGATTAATCAACGTTAAAAAAGAGAAGAAAGAAGGATCAACGGCTAAATTAAATACACTTTCTTACCCCATACATGTCAATGACAACGATAATGGTATCAGGAGGATTTTCTTCCTGACAAACATCCAACAACATGCAAATTATTTTAATAGCATATTCTACTTTGGCGTTTTTGTAATAAGTGTCACGTAGTTTAATAAAAAGAATTATTTTATGTTCTATCGGTTTGGGAATCACACTAAATGATCTGAAAAAAAAAAAAACAAAATTGAAAATTTACCACACTCACACTGCAAAATTTTTAGAGGAGGCCATTGTCAATAGTCAGGCCATTTTAAGCATATTTTTATAATAAAAGGCTCATGAATTAAAGAAATTTAATCTCGGGCAAGGAGGCATGTACCTTATGGCCCCCTCCCTGAAGCCGCATTTGACTTACGGATCTGTAATAATTACACAAGCCAATAGACATTTTTGTGCCTGCGATTTTTTAACTATTCCTGGGTAATTTTTGGGTGTAGATTCCAAAATAGCCAGCAGATTTTGTTATCAGATCTAGTTTTTAAGATAGACAATATTGTATATATTTTACTTTATGATCAGAAGCGGTTCGTGGCCTAGTCTACGAAGAGGCTGGCACACACTATATACTTAATACAACTATCGGAGTTATGATCGACAAGTAATGTTATTTTTAACAGACACGTTATTTGTAAACGGGTTGTTATTTATGTGTGTTTATAAAATAACAGACTTATTGAAAATAATACAGGTTGTCAATCATAACCCCCTATATATTTCTCGTAGACTAGACTTTTATTTACAAAAAATTAATAACACTAAATCGAGAAGGGTAACGGTAGACAGAAGGTACACTATGTTTCTAAAATTAATTAGTGGGGACTAAGCAGGTATAGGAAGAACGGATCATCTATAGGAATTAAGGTACCATTTCGGTAGGCGCGACAGACGACCGCCGACGCGACATACGAC